TGGTGTTAAAAGCATTAAGGAAAAATGTTTTAAATCCAAGGGGAAAATTTAGACCTAATTGGTTTGGACCCTACATTGTCAAAACAATCCTGTCAGGAGGTGCAACAAAACTAACTGATATGGATGGCAATGAGTTCTCGAACATGACAAATCTTGACCAACTTAAGAAATACTGCCCATAATTACTTGAGTAGGATACTCAAGAGAGCTACGTTTGGCCAGATTCCTTAAGAAAGGATACGTAGGCAACCCTTTACGGGTGCGGCCACTTTATTTTCCAAAAATCTCACATCCCAGAATTAATTAAAAATTCGACAGAAGATCGGCGAAATATCGGCGTCACGGAAAACGTTCCAGCGCCAGTAGATGAGCATTAGCGCCAGTCGACGATCATTAGCGCCCGACGACGGCACCGTCGCCTGACGCCAGACCGCCGTGGCCGGCGCCAATCGCAGATGTGTGGCGCCAATTCACAGTTAAAATTCTGGGAATATTTCGGTGTTTTTTGGAAAATTTTCGACTTCCGTACTCGAAGAATTTTTGGAAAATTAATTTTTTCGGTTTTCATTGCTTTAATAAATAAATTTAAAGTAAATAATTAATTAAACAGTGATTTCACCAAATTCCACTAAGTAATTTAAAAATTCACCAAATGCCATCGGACTTTTCAGAATTCATCAAATGCCACCCAGTTTTTTAAAAATTCACCGAGTGCCATTAATGACCAACGGTCGTTAACTCTGTTAGTCATTAGGAGTTAATCATGACACATGTCATGATATAATTGGTGAATTTATCTTAATTCATAAAAATTAAAAAAAAAACAATTTTTTTTTTAAAAAAAAAACCCAAAATTTTCCCCGCCACCCCCACCACCGCCAAACCTTAGCCCCACCCTTATCTCGCCGGAAAACAGCCGGCCACCACCTTAACCACCACGGCCACCCAGAACTCACACCCTAACCTCCCCCAAAATTCGAGCCACCCTAACCCCTCTCCCATTAAAACCGACCACCCCAACCCCCTCTCCCATGAAAAACCGACCACCCTAATCCCCAAATCGACCACCCTAACCCCCTCCCCTATAAAATCCGACCATCCCTTGCAAAATTCAACCACCCCCTCTCCCATGAATTAATTTGTGTAAAGTTTGTTTTTTTGTTGTTGAAATTGGATTAAAACCCTTGTAAATGGCTAATTTTTGGTGTTACGGGTTTCAGCAAAAGGGGATGCGATTTCAGGTGGTGGTCGAGGTGGAGAAAGAGTCGGGACAGGGTAGGGGTTGAGGGTCGGTTTAGGGTCGAGGTGGAGAAAGGGTCGAGACAAGGTAGGGATTAGGGTTCGGTTTAGGGTCACCGGCGATTAGGATTTGACTGTGGGTAGCGTTGCGCGCAGGGGAAGGGGATTGGGATTTAACCACCACCTTGTGTGGGTGGTTTTGGGGGTCGGCGGTGGGTCAGGTGGGGCGCTAAAGTGTCGCCCGACCGATTTTTGGTGGTTAAGGTGGTGGCCGGCCGTTTTCCGGCGAGATAAGGGTGGGGCTAGGGTTTGGCGGTGGTGGGGGGTGGCTGGGAAAATATTGGGGTTTTTTTTTTTTTTTTTTTTTTTTTTTTTGTTTTTTTTTAAATTTTTTTTTTGTTTTTTTAATTTTTATGAATTAAGATAAATTGACCAATTATATCATGACATGTGTCATGATTAACCCCTAATAACTAACGGAGTTAACGACCGTTGGTCATTAATGACACTCGGTGAATTTTTAAAAAACTGGGTGGCATTTGGTGAATTCTGAATAGTCCGATGGCATTTGGTGAATTTTAAAATTACTAAGTGGCATTTGGTGAAATAGCCGTTAATTAAAAGCTGAAATTTCATTAATAAAATAAAATTATATTATTGATGGAATTTTAATAAAGCTGAAACAAATTAACTTTAAATAAAAAATATAAACTAAGTCTAATAATTGGAAACTAAGCAATGCTCCTTATCTTCCATTTCTTTCCTTAGCCCTTTTCCAATTTTTGTCTGCCTCCTCCTCCTCATCCATAACCTTAGCTAGTAGGCATCCTTTAGAGGACCTACATTCAATCTTAGAGTAGATAGTTTCCCCTTCAGCTAGGACTCCATGCTTCTTTTCTACCCAAGCTTTTTTCTCTGGGGTGTCAGCTTTCCTCTTTCCCTTATCTTTTGTAGTATTTTCTTCCTAGGCATTGCAGGTGTTTTGAATTCAATTCTTTCACCTAAGCGTTCCCTAATAGGAACCACCTTGTCACCTAGACGACTCTTCACATTAGTCTTACCCTGATTTTTCTTTAAGTCCTTTGAAGGTTTCTTCAGCAGCTACTTCTTCACATCATTGGGTAAGGAAGGAGGAACCTTTTGGGTAATTACTTCCCATAAAGGTCTAGCACTCCAATAAGCATCAAATCTGTCTACTTCCTGGGAGACAGGGAACTCGTAGGGAGGACGAAGATCTCCGGAAGGAATATTCTGAAGTAAGCCGCATTGTCTTTTTACCCTGCAGGGATAGTAATAATTCATACGGGACAAACTTGGAAGACGGCAGAAAGGTTGCTTGTTGACACCAACCATCCTTTCCATTTTCCACCACGGGACGACCCACTTGATAGCAAAATTGCGAGATTCGAAGACCCTCTTCCACTCGTGGCGCCTAATCTTAGAGAAGCGTTTCTTCCTCCTCACGAAGCAATTCGGAGTGTACTTCTCAATGTTGTCCGGAGGGCTAATTAATTCTAGCCTTTCCATTAGCCACATCTGTAAAAAAATTGCAATGCAAATAAATTATTATTACTATACAAAAATATATTTTTTGATTTCTGTAATTAAAAGTATTATTTTTCTACCTGTAATAAAATTGGAGAACCTCGAAAAGGTGCTTTTGGGTTCCTTTTCAATTCATCAAGACTAATCATGGTCTCTCCAACTATCAATGGCATTGGATTTCTCCCTGATTTAATTTGTTTTAGTATGGTGGCTATAATTGATTGACCCTCATTATTTTTACCACTAGTAAGAAAAAATTGATTAAGCATACAAAATAAGAAAGCCCTTCTTCTATATATATGAAAAGATTCGGAGTAAGGTTTATCAAAATAATGGCGAGCAAATTCTTTCAAATTAACTATGTTGCCATCTACTATTTTTGATAGATCCCTTTCTTTTAAATTGAAGAAACGTTCAAAATCCTTGTAATAATATGCATCTATTCAAGGGATTACTATGGTCTATTGCAGGAAAACCTAAAATAGCACCAAATTCTTCCGGAAAAGGGCTAATTTCATCATACCCTTTTGTAAAACAATGAGTATCAACATCCCAATATTCTAGAGCGATATGAGAAAAATCTAAATCAAGATCTACCCCTTTGATACCATAAATTCCCCCCAAGTGGAACACATCTAATTCTTTTCTTTCTTTGGCATTAAGAGACCGACACCATTCATGGGTGTATTGGGTAAAAGTTTTGGTGACTAGAGACAAGATATTATTTTTCTAAAGCTGAGAATTATTTTATTTGCTGAAATTATGAAAAGAATCGGCTGGGCAAGGGGTTATTTATGCACGAAATCGGAGCAGTTTTAATCTGGGAAGGATACCGAGTCAGCGCTATTTGGCGCCAGACGCTAAGTGTAGCGCCTGGCGCTACACCAATACGTGTGGCGCCAGCTGGCGCCAATTTTCCTCGTCGAACGCGCTTTCTAAAACCGCATTTTTTTTACCTTAATTCGAGTCTGCTAATGACTTTACGGCTTCCTTATCTTTTTATAACCATCTTTTTATTCCTTTTTTTAATTAATATAGCTATTATATTAATTTTTTGGGATTTTATTTAGATTAATTTCCAAGATTATTATAAACCCAACATTTTATTTGACTTTTCCTTTTTTCATTTTTTCTTTTTGTGGGAGAAAGTCGGATACCCTCCATCAATAATAAAAATGACGAGGTTTGACTTTCGTTGACTTTCTCTCTTCTCTCTCTTCTCCATGGTTCTTCATCTTTGATCGGTTTCTTCATCAATTTTGGATTTCGATGGCTAAGAAGAAGAAGCAGAACACTTCTACACCTCAAGTAGTACAACAGAAGAATACTCATGAATCTTTAGACACAATTTTGCAGAATTTGAGGAATTGAGGCACTTCATTTGTTCCTAGTCCGATTTAGGAGGTGGATGAACTGGTTACTCCGGCGCCGGCATTGGTGCATCCAGCATGTGGTGCTATTCCTAGAAGAGATGCTGAGACCATTTCTCTATTTGTTGAAGCAACTGCTAGGCCAGATTCGAGGATTTCTAATGGAACAGTACCTAGGGTTTCTGGGTTTAATGTTCCATTGGTTACTTGAAGATCTGAGCATTGATCTGAGCCGACAGTTCCTGCTCATCATTCTATACCTTCCCCGGAGCAGAACGCACATAAACATGGTGAGGATCGAGCTGTTCCCTTCTCTGGAAAACTGGCTGCTAAAGGAGATCCTTTGTCCTTTGTTGCTCCGATAGTTCAGGATGGGAAGCAAGTTGCTCAATTGCAAGAATCCGAGCTTGATGCAGGTAATAAAAAGTGGTCTAATGCTTTAGTTTTCTACGTAGTTGGCTATTACCCTACTATTGCTGCTGTTCTTCGTTTTATTGCCCAACAATGGAGTGATATGCAGACACTAGATGTTTATTGGCATGATGATGGGTAGTTTATCATTAATCTGTGTTCTAGTGATGATAAAGATACTATACTTTGTTCTGGTCCTCATATGTTCCTTGGAAAACCAGCAATAGTTAAGCCTTGGTGTCTTAAATTTGATTTTTAATGCTGAAATTCTGAGAACTGTTCCTCTCTGGGTTAAGTTTCCTAATCTCCCACTTAATTGTTTGGGATCTGAAGCTCTTAGCCGTATTGGCAGTTTGCTTGGAGCGCCAATTTGTGCTGATGAGTGTACTACTAGACAACTTAGAGTGTCTTTGGCTAGGGTCCTGATTGAAATTGATGAACTCTGTCCTGGTTGAGAGTCCTTCAAAGGAACTATTGGAGCTCAAGGTAGTGTATGAGTGGGCTCCACCTTTCTGCTCTAAGTGCAACAAGGTTGGTCATGATTGCTCTACTAAACCTGCTCCTGCTAAGCCTAAGCAGGTTCATAAGCAGCCAGCTCCTGTTTCTCCTAAGCAAAAGCAGGCCTGGGTTCCTAAGCCTAGCCAAGCTCTTGCTCCTGTTGTTGATGTTGATGCTTCTGTTCATGGGCAGTCTGTCATTACTCCACAGGTTCATACTTCTCAAAACTCAGATGAGGGGTGGAGAATAGTTGGAAGGAAGACAAAAAGCCAGCAAACTAGAGTTCATCAGCCTGCCTCTACCTCTAATGCTTTTGTTGCTTTATTTGCAAATGAGATGGATGGTGCAGGTGGTTTCACTATAAATCCAAGCGAGGGTGAGGTTAATCCCCCTTTGGTGTCATGATTTAGTCTATTTGGAATGTCAGGGGCCTGAATGACCCTGACAAAGTTGCCTCTGTAAAGAGGTTGCTTCATTCCCATTCAGTTGATGTTATTGGCCTTCTTGAAACAAAAGTTAAATCAAAAAATGTTTTCAGTTATCAAAAGAAGTTTGGCTCTTCTCGGCTTTGGGTGTGCAATTATGATCATTCTCCTAAAGGGAGGATTTGGCTTGGTTGGAATGCAGATAGAGTAACTGTCAATGTCTTGAAGATTCATGAGCAGTTTATACATTGTTGTGTCCTTTCTAAGGATCTTTCTACTCAAATTCATCTCACTGTTATTTATGGGCTTCATTCTATTCATGATAGGCTTCCTATGTGGGAAGGGATTAGGAACATCTCTATTCAGCATTCTCCTTGGCTTTGTGCTGGTGACTTTAACTCTGTTCTTCATACTTCAGATAAGCTTCATGGTACTGATGTTACTGATTATTAGACTAGAGATTTCCAGAGTTTGGTTGATGATTTGGACCTCACTGAGTTCAAGAGCAAAGGGGCCTTCTACTCTTGGTCAAATAAGGCTCACACTGGTCCTAGAACTCTTTCTAGGATTGATAGAGTCTTTGGTAACCAAGCTTGGCTGGCCTCTCATGGGCATGTTGAGACTGTCTATATCTCCCCTTCTTTATCTGATCACAGTCTAGTTCTGTTGGATATTTGTTCTGCTCCTGCTGGGAGAGGTAGACCTTTCAGGTTTCTAAACTGTATTGCTGATCATCCTGATTTCCTTGATACTGTTTCTCAGGCTTGGGGTTCTGGTAGTTCTGTTTGGCAGAAGCTTAATTCTGTGAAGTCTAGTATCAAGTCTCTTAATAGCAAGCAGTTTGGCAACATTGAGGAGAAGATTGATCAAGCTAATGTTGAGCTTGCTGGAATTCAGAACTTAATGGCTCAGAATCCTGATGATTTAGATTTATATGCTAAAGAATCTGATGCTATTAAGGTTGTCAAACACTGGAATGATATTCAGGAAAGCATCTTCAAACAAAAATATAGGATCAACTGGATTAAACTTGGAGATGGCAATTCTCATTTTTTTTTCTCAGTGATGAAGAATAGACAAGCAAGGAATAGAATTGACTCCATCTTTGACTCTAACTAGGTTTTTCTTAAGGATCCGGATGCTATTTATCATGAAGTTATCTCCTTCTATAAGTCTCTTTTAGGGACTCAGGCTCCTTGGCTTCCCGCTGTTGACCTTGTTACTGTGAGGAGGGGTAAATAGCTTAGCTTTGTTTCTCAGAGTTATCTCATTCAGCCTATTTCTCATGCTGAAATTGATGCTGCCCTTAAGGGAATTGATAACACTAAAGCTCCTGGTATTGATGGCTTTAACTCCTTTTTCTTTAAGAGAGCTTGGCATATTGTGAAATATGATATTTATGCTAGTGTTAATGATTTCTTTACTAAAGCGACCTTGCCTAAGCAATGGAATTGCACAACTATCACTCTTGTTCCTAAAATCCCTAATGTTTCCCATGTTAAGGATTTTAGACCTATAGTTTGTTGCACTGTGGTTTATAAGCTCATTTCTAAGGTCATAACTGCTAGACTTGCTGCTATCATTGGTGAGGTCATTGATGATTCCCAAGCAGATTTCATTCCAGGCAAGCACATTGGTGACAATATCCTTCTTGCAACTGAATTGATCAAAGGCTATGATCACAAATTTATCTCACCTAGATGCATGGTTAAGGTGGATTTGAAGAAAGCCTATGATTCAGTTAAGTGGGGATTCTTGATTACTGTTATGCAGGAGCTTGGTTTCCTTAGAGATTTGTTAGCTGGATTTGGACTTGTCTTACTTCTGTCTCTTATTCTATTCTTATTAATGGCTTTCCTTCCCCTCCTTTTGAAGCTAAGAAAGGTTTAAGACAAGTGACCCTATGTCTCCCTTTCTTTTTGCTATTGGTATGGAATACCTTTCTAGGTGCCTTGATGAGCTTAGGTTAACTCCTGATTTTAACTTTCATCCTAGATGTGAAAAGTTAAACCTAACTCACATGATGTTTGCTGATGGTCTATTGATGTTTTCTAGAGCTGATAGTGTTTCTGTTAACCATCTCTTCCAAGCTTTCTTAAAATTCTCTGGTGCTTCCAGGCTTTCTACTAATCTTAATAAAAGTGAAGTCTATTTTGGAGGAGTTTCTGTTGATGTTCAGACAGAGCTGAGAGAGCTTCTTGGTGTTTCTCAAGGTTCTATTCCGTTTAGGTATCTTGGGGTCCCTCTCTCTTCCAAGAAGCTTACTATTACTCAGTGTAGACCTTTGGTGGAGAAGGTGACTGCTAGAATCCAAGGGTGGATGGCTAAACACTTGTCCTATGCTGGGAGGCTTCAGTTGATGAAGAGTGTGTTGTTTGGTATTCAGACATATTGGGCTCAAATTTTTATCTTGCCAAACAAAATTCTGAAAGAGATCAAGGCTAGATTCAGATGCTTTCTTTGGACTGGATCCTCTGCCTCTGCTAAGAAATCTTTGGTTGCTTGGAATTATGTCTGTCTTCCTAAAGTCTGTGGTGGCTGGAACTTGCTTTCTCTTCCTGAGTGGAATAAAGCAGCTGTCACTAAGTTACTTTGGGATATTGCTCAGAAGGCTGATAATCTTTGGGTTAAGTGGGTCCATATCTATTATTTCAAGCATAAAGATTGTTGGACCACTCCTACCCCTGCTAAATGCTCTTGGTTTTTGAAGAAGATTATGAGTTGTCGAGATATTGTGAATGATCAAGGGGGATGGGATGGTTTCATACAGGGCAACAAGATGAAAATCAAGAAGCTTTATGCTGCTAATAGGCCTCAAGTTCATAAGGTTCCTTGGAAGAGGGTCATTTGTCATAACTTAGCAACTCCTAAAAGTGTATTTATCTTGTGGCTAGCTTAGTGGGACAGGCTTGTCACTAAGGATAGGTTTCTTGTGCTTGAATAGCAATGAAAGTGTTCAACACTTATTCTTTGATTGTGAGTACTCTAGACAGGTTTGGAACAAGGTGTTGAGTACCTTACATGCTTCCAAGCATGTTCAGCAGTTTGGTGATGAGATTGAATGGTTGAAGAAAATCAGCAGAAGTTCCAGATTGAAAAACAAAGTGATCCATGTAGCCTTCACTGAAACAGTATATGGTATTTGGATTTAGAGGAATGCAGTTTTGTTCAATGGTTGTTGCAAGCCTGTTGATGTCCTAGTTAGGGATATTGTCTTCCATTCAGCCTGTAGAATCCCAGCGGGAAGCAAATACTTGATTGCTTAGTCGGTTTATCAGGGAGCTGCTTCTGCTGTTCTGTTTTTCTGCTGCTATTGCTGGTTTTTGTTGCTGAATTCTGATTTCTGCCTGGTATGTTGCTGATTTCTGAATTCTGTTTTTTGAATTCTGAAGGCTGTTGTTGATTTTTGTTGCTGTTGCTGTATTTTTGTTGCTGTTGCTGAATTCTGTGATGCTGCTGGTTTCTGCTGTTGTTGCTGTTGTCTGTTGTCGTTGCTGAAATCTACTGCTGTTGCTGAATTCTGTTGTTGTTGCTTACTGTTGTTCTGCTGTGCTGTTGTTGTTCTGGTCAGCAAGTCAGCTGAATCTGATTCTATTGCTGAATCTGATTTTGTTGCTGAATCTGTTGCTGTTTTCTGTTGCTGAAATCTGCTGCTGTTGCTGGTTTTTGTGGCTGTTGTTGGCCGATGTTCTTCTATTGCTGGTCTTTGATGTAGTTGCTGGTCTGTTTTTCTGTTATTGCTGGTTTTTAGGTCAGCACTTTGTTCTGGTGCTTAGCTTGGTTGTTTTCTCTGAACTGGTGTTTTACCTTATGTTGTCTAGTCTTGCTGCTTTTGCAGCTGAGTCTAGGTGGAGGTTTTCTTTTTTTACAGTCTGCATGAGTGGTGTTTCTTGCTTGCAGGTTTATCCTTCTCTGTGTTTGTTTTGTGTTCCTGGGCTTAGTTTCAAAAACCCTTCCTAGAAGGTGGCTGGAAGCTTGAGCTCAGGTTGTTCTTATCTCTTTCTCTTGAACCCTTCCTAGAAGGTGGAAGGAGATTGAGCTTGAACTGTTTGGTGGTTGGTTGGCCTGTTTTTTCAGGTCTTGTGGAGTTTGGTGTTTGTTATAACTTAGCTCTTGTAAGTTGTAACTTTTCCTTTTGGTAATAAAATTTCTCATATTTTCCAAAAAAAAAAATAATAATAAAAATGACGGAATTTTTGCGCAAAATTACTTGTCACACTTTCCTGCACACACAAACATGCACATAATAATGATAATAATAAAAAATGAAAAAACATGATAAATAAAATAAACTCATAATAGTATGTATATACAAAATATGTCTAAAAAATGAGTCTAACTAAAAGGCAAAGTTCTATACAAAGTCAAATAAATAATAAAAAGCACAGGTATAAACTACGACGCCCGGGGAGGTAAACCCATCATCGCATAAAACTCCGCCGTACGAGGAGTAACCTCTCCACCTACTCCAGCTCCAGCTCCAGTATCAGCTCCAGTCTCCGTAGGAGGAGGAAAACTAAACGTAGGACCAGTCCACCCAAGATCAACCTGAGGTTGAGGCTGCGGAGGCTACTGCGATGACGAGCCAACCTCGTACATCCCACAACCTCTAAGAGCCGAGGTAGCCTCTCCCTAGCCTACCGGCGCACCATGAGCACCCTCAGAGGAGGAACTTGAGCCCTCTTCCACATCAGTACGGGCAGCCTCATAACGACCACCCTTACCTCCTGAAGTAGTGCGGCGACGTCTCGAGCTAGACCTCGCCGGATCCCTCCGCACCTCAGGTCTCGTGCAGGTACGAGAAGGAATGGGCTGACCCTGCAAAAGGAATTAAAATCAGAAACAAGGCAAAATCGAAGCGGTAATGCAAAACATATGAAATAAAGACTACTTCCTGAACGGCGTCATCCCGACGGCAAGTAGCCACGTTCCTCATCCGGATAAGCTTGCTCCGGAAGGCATCTATACATCGTGCCATCGCCGAAACCACCTCGCGCGAGAACTGTCAAAGAAATAAGTTAGTAAACATGCATGATATATGGACGAAAGTTGCAAATAAATAGGCTTACCCTAGTCTGGTGGCGAGGAATTGACAGCTCCACGAAGTGCTCGTCCTTAGGGGCCGGAGGAATCATCTCCTCAATTGGCCCAAATGTCCCCTGGTAATGGATAGACATACGGGGTGGCACGAACTGAGCATCATCGTCCTGATAAAGCAAAAACAAAGTCAATGAAGCGTCACTTGGGGGCTACTTAACGAAAGATAAAAGCTGAAAAATCGTACCGCCACATCCTCAGCCGGTACAGGAATTGGAGCTAACAAAGGCAGTAGCTCCTCCGCATAGCATCGCCCAGAGATCGTGTAAGATCGCCAAGGGATACCAGCTCCCTCTGACATGCTCAACAACCTCGCGGCGTTAAACATGTGATGTGGTGGAGGAGCAGTAACGACAAAAATATCAGAGGAATGTTGTCTAGCAACCCTCTCTCCAAGGTATGCAGTCGCTCCATAAGTCCCCCAAAAATAGCGACGCTCAGCAGAATACTGTGCGGCTAACCTAGGGACTGCCAGGCCGACCCACGGTCGGTACAACACCTCAGGCTTCTACAAAGAGCATCAATCAGGCGAGAGTCTATCTAAAGCATCACAAAACGGCAAATAAGAGAAGAATCATACCGCGATGATCTAGTCTCGGACATACGCAGTGGACATCCCCACACGGAGGCTGCCCTAGGAAGCACTGACTGGAAACCTGCGCGGCGATGGTCTCGCTAGTGCAGCAGAAGGGAAGTACTCATAGAACCAGATCTACAAGGAGTTAAAATTTGAAAGGAATGGTGTCCTTCGAATAAGTGTATTATTCTGATAGCTGGTTCAGAATTATTAGAAAGCTAATATATTCAGTAAGCTCAAGTGATCGGAATGCCTGGGTGGAGGCCGCTTCTGATCAATAATATTAATATAATTAATATTACAGCTTAATCTTGACTGATCCCTTCGGGTCACACCCAAGCAAAATATACGAACCGACTCGACGAATTAATTCGGAAGAAATTAATTCGTCGCCCGAGTGTTAAATATTTACACGTCGGTAATTTGAGCTTGGAGCGTCGAAACTGATCGTCGGAAGTCGAGTAAAAAATAATAAAAAGACGAGACGCGCAAAATAATAATAAATCGACCATATTTCCAAAATACCCCTAGCATCGGAATGCCCCGAGCATCTGAATGCTAGGGGCAAAAATATCCAAGCATAGGTGGATAGCAAGCGCACCAAGCCGAGCCTAGCATGGCTGGCTAGGTGTGTATTAGCGCACCGTGTTAGCAGCCACGCACAGCAACAACTAGCAACCGCGTGCACGTGGTGCGTGCATCAGCTAGCTGCCGCAAGCTAGGCATGCTAGCAGCGCACGCACTAGCAACCACGCACAGCAGCAAGCCCGCACCAAGTGCATGGCTTGCGCGCACAGCAGTAGCCCGCATCTTGGTGCAGGGCTAGGCTCGGGCTGGGCTCGTGGTTGTGCTTGTGGTTGGGCCATAGGGCCGGTCACTATGGGGAAGCTTGAGGAATATGGGAGCAAGTAGGTAAGGACATGTGGCACAAGAAGAGTATTGAGTGGGGAGCAAGTATGGTCCCCTACTCTCCATGTGGTCCTCACCAACCCATTTCACATGGTAATGCCACTTATAGATTTATTATTAATTTGAAATTTTAATTTAATTTAGCTTTAAATTAATTTGTGGAATTTCATGATCCCACATTGATGGGATAGAAATTCCCACTCATACTTTCCTCTATAAATACCAACCTTGGGATTTAGAGTAAAGTGCTTGAGTGGGAGTTAGAAAGAGCATTCCATATTTTGGGAAAAACTCTTAAACTCCATTA